GATACAAGAGAGGATAGGCATTTCATACAAGTAAGAAATATCATTTATGTCCATTAATTGACTTTAGTGGGAATGGGTAGGACTTTGTGCTGTCAGACTGAAATGTTTCACATATAGCAATATCTCAGCTCTTCTGTCCTCTGAGACTGGGCACTAATTTGTGCTGTTAATTTGACATTGTGTCAGTTAGTTTGGAGCAGTGTAAATGTTCAGTTAAAGCCCTGCAGTCTCCAGGCTGCCAGTTAAAGTTGTGAAAACATATAAGTCTTATCATTTGTTAATTAAACCATGCAATTATTCAAACAGAACCACATTTGTTGAGTAAAATATATTTCAGTATTATTTTCAGACAATCAATATCTAACAATACAGCATACATCTATGTACATCGGGTCTGCATATGTTCCCCCCCCCCCGACAAAAGAACTGATAAAGAAGCGCTTTGTCCTTTATTAAAGTAACACCAGCCATTGTCCTACCAATGAGAATCAGATGAGAGTGTATGGACCGACCAACCGACCAGAAGGTACTAAACCACAAATAAACATGGACACACCCTAACCCCATACCAATACATCGAAAGCATGTTCTTCAAAGGGAAGTGTCATACAACGTGGGTCTTCTGTTTGTTATTTAAACCAATCATTGCTAACAGTAATAACAACATTGTACACAGCTAAGATCAGTGCAAACAGCAGTAAAAAGAAGTCGGCTCAGGCAAGACACAAGTTTTTGAACAAACCCCCAGGTTGGCCCAACTTATTTTAAAGAGAGAAGGAAGAGAATACAGACTTCTGACCCAAACTGCAGTTGTGCACACAGTTTTCATCTCAAATGAGGGATTATTAACAACATTTTGGCTGCACTAACTCAGTTTTACTCACATTTATTGTAGTTATGTCTCAGTGTTCCCAGAGCTCAGCAATGACTTTGGTGAGAACAATATTCAAACATATAGAAAGGCCAAATCTATGAAAAGACCTAAAGAGGGCGCCCTGTTAGCTCACCTGGTAGAGCTGGCGCCCCATGTACCAAGACGGAGTCCTTCCTGCAGCGACCTGTGGCCCTTGTGTCATGCCCTCTTTCTGTCCCCCTTTCCTGTCTATCTTGAGCCGTCCTGTCCAATTGTAATGTTTTCCTTTTAAACCATTGTGTGTTTCACAGGTTCACGTTCCCCAGCTCGGGTATGTTCAAGTGTTCTCTGACTGGGTTGGTGTTTAATGTGACCCACGAGGGGGAGGTCAAGTACAAGGCTTTGATCTGGGATACAATGATGCTCGAACCGGCTTCCAAGGTACCTGGAGGACTGCTGTTCGACATCAAGTGTCCTCAGGAGTCCATCTGTCAGCTGCACCTCCCACACTGTGAACCTGAACCTGGTAAGAACACTACTGAGCTTTGTGACCACCTATCAGATTAACAGAAGATAGCATTACCTTTTTTGTACCCAAAGTTGGCAGTTGTGGTTCGACATGGAGATAACATGAAACCTTTTATGGGGCTTATTTTGGATGCTTCTGCATACTCACAGCACTGGTCTCCGAAAGCCTCTCTGTCGTCCACATCACTGATGACGGCATGACCATCATAAAGCCGCAGGTGATTACCGAAACCCACGTGGTCGTGGACACCCCTACCCTCGCTGCCTTTGGCATCGTATGGGATCTCATCAAGAGATTTAAGAATTTCATGACGAAACCACTGAGAGCCCAAGTCCTGCTGTTCATGCGACCGCCATACCAAAGTGGGAAGCTCATCCTCAGTGTGATTCTGCTACCGCTCAACGTACCTCTGCAGGAGGTAAAACCCTGTCATACCATAGTTCAAACTCTTCTGCCACTGTACACTATCTGCTTGTTATGCTAGTAGGCCCTCTTGTGGCCAGGCACTGTAATGTCCTCATATATCAAGAAAGTAAGACTGAACAGTTCACGTATTTTTAAATTGGACAGTTAAGTTTTAAAGCCTTCTAACAAAATGTTCTGATATCACTGAAGGTAAAAGTGCAACATGAGGATTGTGAGTACGCCCAGGTCCCATCCCACTGTCTCCTCCACATGGGCAAATATTACAGCCTCAAAAGTAACCGAGAGGAGCATAAAATCCAGCCTGCAGTGAGTATCAGACACAACTTCTGCTGCCAGCCAATGTATGTCTGAAAGCAATCAGTCTGCAAAATGACGTGTGTACATTTCATTTCAGCGTGCAGAGTTTTTTGATAATTACGGACCAAATTACCACGCAACCTTTGAGATCAACCTGACGGTGACCACTCCGGAGGTGACTATGATGGTGCAAGATCCAGACAAGATGAACGTTTGGGAGCATGAGGTTCATCTGCGCTGTAAGGACCGCGTCACTCAGTCTATAGCAGAGGTTTTTTAGACTGTGATGTGGGGGGGGTGGAGGCAACTGCACAATTAGAGAGAGGGTTTAAATTTATTTGAACGCAGACATAATACGCATATTTTTTAGATTAGTATCAGCTTACAAATCCTTCTAACTCCAGTATGTTATGTATACATAATGCTGTGGTAGTTCGTGCATCCATGTTGACATGGTCAGCTATAACAGGAACTTTCTCATCCTTTTTAAACATGACAGTATTGAGTATAGTTAACCTGCTCATTGACAAAGCTCAAAACCCAATGCACAATTACTGTAGTTACTATGGGTGTGCATCTCTCCCTTCTGAGATGATCTGATGCGTATCTAGATACATGGGCTATGATACGATTCAGGGACGATGCATTCTAATATGGAACAACTGGATGCGATACAATGCACTTCTTAATATTTCTTTAATGTAGACATTCATTTCTGGAAAGTACAGTTAAAATTGAAATATCAGGAGAGGGGCAAGAGGGAGGTTGGGCATAAGCGAAGCAATGGGGAGAAAATGCATGTAGAGCGAGAATATTTTCACATGTAACTCAGGGTTTTTATCAACCAAACCAAAGTGGGTGATTGTTGGAACAGTGGAAAGAGAAACCTAGACATTTTGGTGAGTTTAATGTTGTTTTTGTCAAGTGTTGAGATGTTATGAGTTAAAGGATCTTACTCTTTCACAATAAGTTCTGTCTCTGTAAGCACTACAATGATAATGTTATTGTAGAGTAACAATCTGATTTGTTGAATCAAATTATATTCCCAGGTTTATCTACATATCTGGCTCCATTGGGAAAATTGCCAATGATAAGCAGTGACGTCTCAGCAGAAGAGAAGCTAAGAATCGCCCGGTCGCCCTTCATCGACAGAGTGTCTTATCCCGTTCTGGATGTCATGCTGAATCAACTTCTAAGCCACAGGGTCATAAATGATGCTGAGTTCAAGGCAACCATAGTAAAAAACAGAGCAGACAAAGCTCGAGACCTCATCGACATGGTGCGAAAGAAAGGAGAAGAAGCAAGTTTGATCATGATCACAGTCTTCTCTAGCAATGATCCTTTCCTTTGCAACGAGATCGGCTTAAAGGCAAGGGAAATCTGTGATGATGAGTATTGATCATATGCTGCTGTGGTAATCCTCATCATTTAAAACACACAAAGCCACCAAAATGAAGTTAAAGAAGCTTAGAATGCAGCAACCTGGTCAGAAAAAGCACAAAGACCTGTGACCTGTTCGACCATGTGAACAGAGCTTCCCTCTTTCATTAGTTCGACCACTTTCTTGAAAAGTTAAGCGTGGCAACATTTACATATATCCCAAAACCTGTTGATCTACAGGTCAGTCACATTGTGTAAAAGTTTCTCTGATCAGAAAGGTGGCCCTTTTTTTTTTTTTTTTTGTGCATGCACTCCAGCCTTGCAAATTGTTGGCTAGTTGTGTGTTTACAACACAGAGCCAGGTTCTCAGGAGGTAGAGCGGGTCGTCCACTATTCGGAAGGTTGGCGGTTCCATCCCCGGCTCCTCCTGTTGCATGTCAAAGTGTCCTTGAGCAAGATACTGAACCCCAAATTGCTCCTGTGAATGTGCGTCACTGTATGACGCATGTAGTGTCACAAAATGTGGTAGAACCCCCAAATGAGACACATTCTGAATGTGCTGCATACGTGTCCAAAGAATGCTCCTAAAACCTGAAGAGGAATATCCCACACGTCTTAATCTGAAAATGTGCCATTCGGAATAAGGCCTAATTAGGAATATCCAAACGGGCTATTCTGTTTACGTGACCCTCATCAGATGGGTGTCATATTTGGAATAGTAGTGTGTCTTTAAGCTTTATTTTTATCTTAAAATCACAATATTTCTGTAGATTGTATTTGTAGGAATGAAGACAAAATCAAACATAAGTGTGTGTGTGGGGGGGGGGTCGGTCAGATGGTCTTTGTGGCTGTAGTACAGGACTTTTAATTGCAAATGACATAAATCAGTTTACGGTATGAATAGATGTTGGGTGCCTTCCCATTGTAGTAATTATGCTTCCTCCTGTCCTCCATAGATGTTTTTCATTAGCATAAACATCCCACTGATAGTGTGGGTCACTACTGCCTGCAGTACAGTGTATAGGATTATTTTATCATTCATCATTCTATTCCTATTTTCCATTCCAAGTTTTTAAAACATTAATTTAATTGTATTTCTCTCTCATGTCCAATGTTTTCTTTTTGTTTTAAACTTATTTTAATAGTTTATTAGAATGATGTTCATCAGTCAAAATTAGTGATGCCCTAATAATATTTTTTTCTTCTGAACTGGAATATCCATAACATTATGTACATTATAATACACAGTGCTCAGAATGATGCTGCAGTGAGCGAGGATGTCCTTCTCCATTCCTCTCATTTTTGATTTGGGTTTTTATATATATATTATATTATGCACTGACTATATCATAGATGTGATCATATATTCTGTTTGATTTTTATATTTTACACTGTAAGCATTTATAATGCATGCAGGGCCATAACTGTGATTTTACCAGTACTCCAGTGCAACCCCACCTGCCCAAAGAAAGTTTTATTATCAATTAACAAAGTCTGTCAATTTAGCTGCTTCCACTTTGTCAATATTATTTGGACTGTTAAAATATATTTTCTGCACACTTTATCTCTCTATGCAATTTTCTAGAAGCTTTTTGTTATTTTCTTGAGTTGTGAGAGTCTAGCTTGAAAAGCAGTGAACTCCTTTTAGAAGAAGATGTTTCACCTGACCCTTGGTGTTGTGTAAGCTGATATATTCAGTACACTTTTTGGGGATAAATGAATAAATGATTGAAAAATCTGATATGGTCAGTATTTCTGTTACATTGTAATTTTGTCATTAAACAGCATGAATTGAACCTCCGGGCCTAACAGTGCTCTGCTCAAGAGAAGAGAGAAATGAAATTGCTGAACCTGTCGTCTCTCGTGTGTGTTTTATTGTAAGATGGACAGTTTAGTCAACTTAAGGAGAGCAGGAGCCATAGTCGGTGTAACTGAACATCCCTGTGACATAAAACCGTGGTTCCCAACCTTTCCTTAAAGGAGCCCTTTTATATTCTTTAGTAAATTTACTCAGTGACATATTTTATGGATATTTCATGTTCTATTCAAAACTGTACAATGAACCCAAACAGTGAGCTCAGTAACAGCTAGTTTGTGTAAAATTAGTGATTCTGACTTTTTATACTATATACTCTATATTATGTTTTGACACACTGTGTTTCCTTGTCCCTGATGTTTGGCCATTGTTCTATCAGCATTTACTTTTCTTCAGAATCAGAATTAGGTTTATTGCCAGGTAGGTTTTTAATTTAATTTGTCTTGGTGCATTGGTGCATAAAATATACAAATCACTCAAAAATCCCACAAGAATAAAGTACTTTTAAAATATAAATAAATAAAGATAAGAAAACTGTACAGAAAGTGGGTACAGAAGTGAACCAGATGCTGAGATATAGGCCTACTGTGGAACTACTAACAACTTTGTATCTTAAAAACTTATATGTAAAAGCTGCAACTATTAACCGACTGATTGATTGATTAGTTCATCGACAAAAAAATTAAATGACAACTGTCAACTGATATTCAATTCATCATTTAAGTTCTAGTTTCTCCAATGTGAGGATTTACTGTGAGGTTTTCTTGGTCTGTGATGAGCTATATATTTGTTTGGACTTTTTGTCAGACAATAGAAGTTTTTCACAGCAGCCATTTTGTCATGAAATAGTAGGGTAAGTATATAAAACAATATGAATATGGCGACTTTTGGAAATCTTTTTTTTTTTTACTTTTTTCTGACATTTCATGGACCAAATGAAAGGAAATAGTTGCTGTCTTAATCTTTTTGTATGTAAGTAAAGTACCTCAAATATTGAAACTACAGTAGCCTACATGAGCAGTGTTGGGGAGGAGTGAACTACATGTAAATAAACAAGTAGTTTAACTCCATATTGCAGTAGCTTGCTGGTAGTTCAACTACATTCATATTCATACAGAGATTCAGGTAGTTAAATTACTTCTTTGACATTTTTGTAGTTTTTATTTTACCATTGTTTATTGTTTAATTGAACTCCCTTTGCCTTGTCCCAGCAGGCCAACAGCATTATAAGTTACACTGTAGATGTTTGAAAAGCTTACATTGTGAATTTACACATTGAGTACACACAAAGCAACATCTGCATTCATTTCCTGCTCTGTTTCTGATCAGTTGCTTTAGCTGGTCTTAACCAGCTATTTGCTAACTTTATCATTTATTGGTTTGGTGCAGGGCAGGTGGCATACAGTGGTTTCACTGGGACCTGTGGAGATGGGACAGAATATACAGAAAGTTATATAAAACACAGTCTGTATGTTATTTGTTATTATGTGCAGTGTGTGTACTGACCTCAGTGTAGAGTGGATGGAGCAGCCGTCTCTCTCTCTGTCTGTCTCTCTCTCTCTTTGTCTCTCTTTCTTTCTTCACGTTTGTAAAAATGATGTAAACAACAACAGGACCCACAAACACAACCACAAGAATCCGGACCCACCACCAGCACTGTCTGTTGCTGCTACCTGTCAGAACCATTTACCATCATCAGTCAAACACTCCAACACTATGTTTCACTGAGAATATGAACACAGAGGAGTCACTCTTACTTGTGCTGATCTGTCCACTGCAGGTTGTGCTAACATTGACTGGAGCAGTCTTATTTTCAGCAGGGTTGGCAGACACACATCTGTAAGAGGAGTTGAAATCCTGCTTGAGTACAGTGAGAGGCAGAGAGAGAGCGGAGCTGCTCTGGTTCACTATTTCCTCGTCTTTGTACCACAGCAGTGTCGTCCCTTCAGCTTTCTCCACCCAACACAGCAGGATGCAGCTCTCAGTGCTCACACTCACTGACTTCACTGCAGGAGGAGGGACGGGTTCTGGAGAGGAATCATTGAAAACAGAGTCACACAGAAGCTCTGACACTAACACACACACACACACACACACACACACACACACACACACACACACACACACACACACTACAGTTTACATACAGCCCCTGGTTAAAGTCTCAATTCACCCAAACTATAAAAACACATAATCTCACTGAGAGTTTTGGTTTTAAGAAATCCACTTTTAAGATGTTGTGTTTAAAGCAATTAAACATTTACATTTAAGAGTTACATCTATTGTCAGATAAAACTCAAGGGAAGTGAGAAATGTTTTTGTATTCAGGTGAACCACATAGCAGTGAATATAAATAATATTCTATTAAAACATCTATTTTCCTAATAATATATGAAATAGATACTATAATATATATATATATATATATATATATATATATATATATATATATATATATAGAATTTACTTTTATCAGTTCAATCTAGTCAATGAAACCACAGTGTGTGAAACTATACAAAGACATTTTACACAGGTAAATATGATATGATAATATTTTCTCTCCTTCTGATACTGGATGTTTCAAACTAAACATTTACAATAAATGCATCTTAGATATATTTCAAAGGCACAAACAGAGTTAAAACTTTCTTGATGAAACAACATTGCAACAAACAGCTCTGTTACACTTTGACTTGTAGGTTTTTTGCATTATATTTGTTTCTGTCACACCAACAGCCACACTGGGCACTGCTGAAGTTTTCTTTGAGCAGGACACATGATGTGAAGTATGTGTCAATGATACTCAGGCAGCAAGTACCATAAATGCCATTATTGGGCTGTTTGATAGCCCAACGCAGAAAAATGCACCTTTAATGCCCCTGACTTTATAGTTTTTCATCTGTGTGACCTTTAACCTGTCACTGGGTATGAAGTCATTTTACACACACGTCACATATAAAAAATATTCATACTTTCATGTTACAGACTGATATCCTGCCTGTTAGATTATTGGTGTCAACTGTCGAGCACCCTGGCTCTAACAGCCATAAGGAAGATTTTCTTGTTTCTTGCTATCAATTATAGTTTAACTATATAGAAATATATAGAACTATTTTTTGTTTTATTCAGGCACCATGCCAACCGTTTCATATACGACAATGTAGCAAGAACATTCCTATAAGAAAAACAGGTTTTTGTAATATTCTCATGTAAAATTTCAATAAAGTTTATTTAAAAAAAAGACTTAGACTGTAGAGATCAGAAGACATCTGTGGGACCATGATAACTGGTAGAAACTGGTAAAAAATGATAACCAAAGGTAAAAAATATGACTCACCATACACTGTGAGTTGATAGGTTGTAGTGAACACTCTTCCTGTTTTAGAGTCAATAACATAAATCCCTGAGTCGTTCCTCTGCAGTCCTGTGATTGTAAACAGTCCAGTGCTTTTGTCCCACAGAACTTTGTCCTTCAAAGTTCCCTCATATATCATGGAATTCCCGTTAATCACCATAGCAACATTCTTTCCTCCAAAGAGGAGAAATCCCTGCTTCACCACAGGGTCAGGTAGAGTGATGGATCCTCCCTCAGTGCCTGTCAGGTTCTTCACTTTCTCAGTAGCAGATGAGCTTATCACTGTAAAACACAGAGAGAAACAACAGTTAGCAGAGCTCAAAGCCACTGCTAGAAAGCTGCACAAACACAAATGGTGCTTCAACTGTCTTTAGTTTACAGTTGTTCTACATCTTCACAGTAAACAGATGTACAGTGACTCAACCCTGTCTCATAGAAATGATGTTTGTATATTAGCCTATACATTGATTGCATAATTACATTGTGGTGATAACATAATACCGTCCTGGGTTATGTTTAGAGACAACCTCTTTTGAAACACTACATTTCTGTAACATGGTGGCTGAGGAGGATGGTGGTGTACAAAATGGCTGTCACACCAAAAACAAACACAAAAACATTCAAAAGGCCGTTGCTCTCGCTGTCTGGTGATAAGACAGGTGTCCCTCTGTGATTCCATATACTAATATTAATAATATAAAGAGAAAGGAATTATAGCTAAATAATAGAATCACTTCATCATCATTTTACTAGGGCAGCTAGCAGTGCTCTTGCAGTGTTTGGTGGAGTTCTGAGATCATCGGTGTATCTGTGTCTTAATGCAGCGTCTGTCTGTATCTGATATGATCTGAAGTGATAGAGAGGATGGACACAAACAAGTTTCCTTGAAAGTCTGTTAAGGGAAGGAAAGATTGTTATTTCAGTTAAATATTAATAAAAAATCTTATGTCTCAAGTCACTGCTGACAGTTGAATAATGCTGTAGTCACTATGAGAGGATAGTACTGAAAGACTGCCTATTTTGGTGGAAAACAAATCAACTCTCCACCGTCTCGGTCCCTCGTATTATTCAAAGTCATTCACACACATCTCTGATAGAGTGCCAGTAAACATTTTAAAAAACAGGCAGTCACACATTACTGAAAGTACTGTATGTTGTAGCACAACAGTCGTGCAATGTGTGCAGTGTGTATTTAAGGACGCCTCTAAAACCAAGTCAACGTTTACCATCACATTTCCCTCTCTGATCAGGTAAAGATCAGTTACTCCAGTTATAAAAAAGTTACCTATGAAAATGATGATGATCCTCATGTGGAACGCCATGGTTGTTTTTGGATGTGTCAGATCTCTGAAGCTTTCAGGGAAACTTGTTCATATCACCCGTGAGTGGAAAGCTAAAATACTGACTGCAACTTCCTGTCTGACAGCACTGTGGTTCATATGAGACAAAACTACCTGATACACTGATGATCCCCACTAAACACTGCAGTACCACTGCCAGCTGTCCTAGTAAAAGGATTATTCTCATTCTAGTATTCTTATTATCATTTAGCTATAACTGCTTTCTCTTTATATTATTAACACTTGTATATGACATTGTATATTGAATCACACCAGACAGGGACAGGCTCTTTTTCTAAAATTCTTTTAATTTTGTGAAAACAGACAGGTGAAACAAGACACATTGTGTGACCAAAACAAACAAAGACAAATAAATCAATAAATCAACATGGGTTAGGTTAGAGATAGATGATAGATGAAAATGGGTACAGTGCAGCCTATTGTAAAGGACTTCAGTGTGTGTGTGTGTGTGTGTGTGTGTGTGTGTGTGTGTGGTGGCGTATTTGTAAGTGTTGAGAAGCAACAAGGGGAAGTGGTGTTTTAGCCGAAAATAGAAAAAGGGAAAGAAGAAGACAGAAAAAAAAAGAAAAAGTAGACAAGTACATATGGGGCAGGAATACAACAAGAGTAAAAGAAAGAAAGAAAGAAAGAAAAAAGAAAAAAGAAAGAAGCTCAGTGTGTAGGGACTTGGCTTGGGAACTGGAGGGTCGCAGGTTCAAATCCCACAGACCACAATATGGAACGTGGCCTGGTAGCTGGAGAGGTGCCAGTTTCACCTCCTGTGGACTGCCGAGGTGCCCTTGAGCAAGGCAAGCCCGCTCATGCAGCGCTGCTAATGTGGCAGCCCATCACTCAACCATCTCTCTCCCTGTTGCATGTCCACAAGCCCTGCATGTGTGTGCATTTCAGCCTGTGTGTGTATAAAAAAGAAAACATTCACCAATAGGGGATTAATAAAGTATTTATCTATTTTTCATTTTATTTTATTCTTATTGATTTTACTGAGGCAGGGATTGCCTTTCCAGTCACCCCCAGGGCCCCGGGGAGGAAGCTGGCTGTTGGATTAAAAACTGTACAGTTACCCCACATAGTGAATCCAGTAACTGCAGGAAGTTTGAGTTTTATTCAATTCTCTGTCTATATTATGATTTTTTATATTCTTTTAACAATCACACAGACTTAATAATCAACAAATACTAAGATATTGGCCTGCTGTGTATATTTTGAATCTTTAGTGACCCCTAGTGGAGATCCAGACCCCCAGGTTGGGAACCGCAGCTCTAATGAGTTCATTTGCAGCAGCAGTCTAAAGATGCTAAGCACATTTCTGCAGGCTGATATGAGTCCTCTGATGCATCCTTGTGTGTTAGGGTGAAGCTTTGCATTGAATATGAATATATTACTAATAAAAGAAATGTGTAATTCTGTATATTTGTTTATTTGACAGGGACAGAGCACTTTAATGAACATCAGTATAAAAACACAACATGTAAACAAATGTTGGAGTTAACAAGAATGCTAATTTACATCCGTAGTCCCTATAGGCAGGTAACAAACACAGGAACATTACCAGTGACAATATACAGACACAAACTTACAATACACACGTAGAAAGAGACAGAATGCATTGTGCAACATGTCAGGGTAAAAGTGATCACAGTTCAGGTTTGCCTTCAGTCACTGTTTGAGGGGGGTCTTTAAAGTGGGATATGGAGGGCTTCCCTTTACTGCCAGTGGTAGGCTGCAACCCAATCTCATTCCAGGTCCTCAAATACAGACACACGCCTCCCCTGCGTCTCATACAGACGCAGGGAGCTGTGTGTCTGTCTGAGACGTACCGGGCTAATAAGCCTTTTTAACACCTAACGTTATGAAACAGTCACAGTTTGGTTCGGTTTTGGAAAATATAATAATTTGGGTTAAAATAACTGCATTAAATGATGTTACATAAGTGATGGATGTAAGGAAATATTACTATAATAACATAAAAACACAATGTAAAATATAAAAAGTAAAAACTAAAAGAAGAAGAAATGTTTTTATTTAAATGACATAAAAGATCATTTGGATGGGATTAACATTGCAGGGGGAGGATTATTCACACCTCTTCTGGATGCTATTTTAACCCTGGTTAAATAACAGGATATGGTCTATAATAGAAATTCAGATTCTGCTGGCCAGAGAGAGAATATCAGTGTACACACTCCGGACGAGATCAGAATAACTGTGACCTCACCTGCAGAGATAAATCCGGTCTGAATGGTTGGCTGTGGAGTCAAAATGCTCAGTTTGTCCTGTTCACACTGCAGTAAGTAAAAGGAACTCTGGATCACTGAAACCATGACTCTTTTTTATCAGTGATCTTTTTGTGATTTGTGTGAATGCACTCTGCATGGCTCTGACTGAATAAGGACATGAACACAAGGGGGAGTTCATGTCCATCAAGCCGTTCGAGAAGCCACTCCCATCATCAGGAACATGATCTCAGTGCTCACTGTACTGTTTGCTGTGAAACAGAGTTTACCTTGGAGTTTTGAACTCTGTATATGAATAATGTGAAGTTATAAGTGTAAAATTAGAACCACTGATGATAAATCAGTTTGGTGATGCTTTCCCTCTTTGTCTCCCTTTTTCAAAAGGTTAGAATACTCCACATAGCCGGTAGCATGCATCTGACTTAAACAGAATACTGTAAAATACAAACAGTTCGTTTCAGCATAAGTATATGAGTGCACTCACCACACTTTCAGACAAAGATGAAGAGGTAGAACATCCTCTGTTTAGAGTAGAGTTATAAGCCTCCACACCAGACAATAACAAAACCTTCACGTCACCTCTGCAGTGACACATTAAAGATCTTCAACTGCCACGCAAAGCAGGCCTCCCTACTCGTAATATTTGTTTATGCAAAAACATTTGGCTGATGTTGTTGGATGTTGTAGACACAGCTGAACCAGTTCGACCACCCTGGATCTGAAAAGTGATGTTTTTCTATTGCTTGTCTGACCTTAGAGACTGGTAGATAGCTGCCCTTCTGTTTTTCTTTTACATGTTTGTGCTCTTATGAAATCCTATTATTGAGCAACTGCACACCAACATCTTTAAATAGATCCTGATTACACAGTCTTGTTGCCACTGTGGCTGGCCTTACTTACATTAAGCCACTGAGTCACTCACAGAGTTGAAGCAAACAAAGGCTTTAAGCTAAGTGAGTGACATTCCTTAAAATGTCCCCACTATATATTCAACAATAAATTAAATGACTATGTTTAATGCCTGTGTGAAACATTTTACCATTTATTACCCTGTTTCCCATCTGCCCCACCACGCTCACATACCCAACGGTTAGCAAGTTCAATATTTGTTATTTCCAGTATGGCAGTTTAACTGCTCACTGCTGATGTGATGGCTCAGTGCTTTGGTTTATTGCTTTATTGCACCTCTGCTCTGCGTCCTCCTCTCCTCCAGTGCAGTTACTATAGAACACTCTGTGTGTGTGTGTGTGTGTGTGTGTGTGTGTGTGTGTGTGTGTGTGTGTGTGTGTGTGTGTCAGGCTATGCTATGTGGACAAAACATCCAGTTTGTATTTTCATAAAACAATGAAACCTGATTAAGCTGTGACCCCAGCTCTGAAGGTAAATGAACGGAGCCACTTCCTCTTATCAGCACATTGTGTTTGAGCCAATGGTTTGATGATGGGCAGGTGGTGCCTTTTCAAAAGCATCAGTCCATTCAACAGCCTGGGGGTCGGAACTAGAATGAACACCCATCTGGAAATTATTGTGGGCTGTTTCTTAGACCCTGTTGTGTAATCATGTTATTAAAGAATAAATGTATAGTTTTTAAAATTTAGAATTAGATATCTGTCAGCCGACACTCAAAAAAATGAAACACTGACTTTAATTACATTCATTTTGTCAACAGGTTCCACAAAATTCTGTTAGTGTTAGTTAAAAGTAGAAAATATTATGGTCATCTAACCTCATGAAATAGTATTATAGTAACACAATGATTGTGAATTGAACCAACTAAAAAGAACACAAATGACAAATGAATTTGGTGCACCCAACATATTTCTGCCATTTCCTTCATTCACCAACAGAGCACTGATTTAGTTAACATTTGGTGCACTTGGTCAGAAAAAATAAACCAATACAGTAACATTTCTGGCACCCTAAGCGTTATGCAGATTAACTGACTGACAGAAAATGAATCACCCACTACTTACATTTCTCAATCATTTGTAAATATGTTCTGCGTTCTGTAGTCATGTATGTCAGTACACTAAATATATTTGGGTTGTGGACTGTCGACATATGAATCGACAATGGAAATAATTACTAGTTGCAGCCCTACATAAAATAAACCATGCCATTATTAAACCAACATTATGGTGCAGCTTGAGCCAACACTAACAGTTATAAGATGCCTTAATGCAGCATAAAATCCAACAAAACATCCATTTATTTGTCAGAATAATTTTGGTGCATCTTGGTGTTAAAGGTCCGCAAAATATCCATCAGCTGTTAACAACTGTGCATAATGTACCTTGTTTGAGAGTCTGTGAGAATCCACTTGAATGAAGAAGCTTCTGAAGTACTTGTAAGAAGGCTTTCAGTTCCTGAGGAGAACAGGTTCAGTGCATATATTACACCCTCTCCAGTCTCTAGAAGGATTTTTTTCAGCAGCTGAGGAAAGGCTTCTGTTGTACCCTCACTGTACTGATAGTGGAGTACTTTTAAAGTGGGATATTAGTACTTTATATTAGTATATTAATATATATTATCCCTGACCTAGGGGCCAGACCTAGGGTCGCCCCCTGACTGAAGATGAAGATGATCACCCTGGTGTAGCCTCTGCTCCTACTCCCTCATCTCTTAATGAAAATGTAGCCACCTCTTCCTTTTGCGATCTGCCTCCCACCAAAATATTTACTCCAGCTCCCCCAAATTTGATGTATGCTGACTCTCAAACTCATTTGGCTTCATCCCCCCTGCCTTGTCAATGTATGTGGCCATAATAGGGAAAGGACCGTCACAACTCACACAGTCCTTGATGATGGAGCAGATCTATTCTGCTCCCCAAACCTGTCCAGTGTTTTGGCCTCACAACTCAACCTGAAACCATCTCATTACGCACAGTAAGACAGGATATAGTGCAATTGAGTGGAGCATCTGTATCCTTTGAAATGTCCCCTCTTAACTAGCCAACTGAAAGGTATGGTATCAATGGAGCATTCACTGCGGAGAATCTTGGACTGTCGGAGCACACATACCCTGTGAAGCAACTACAAAAGCAGTATCACCATCTCAGAGGTATTCCATTAGAGTTTACTGATCATGCATACCCTCTTGTCCTCACTGGCTCAGACTATGCCCATCTCATCACAGCCACAGAGCCGACACTCGTGGAGCCCCCTGGTGGCCCATTGGTAGTACATACCAGGTTAGAATGGGCTCTCCAAGGGCCAACTAGCTTAATCCCAACCCAGCACACTCTTTCCTTCAGTCGTACCTGCTTTAGAGGTGAATTGCTTAGAAGTGTGGAAAAACGCAGATTGACATATGTGAATGAAAAGACGACCACAATGTCAAAACAAGACAAGCTAGCTCTTGATCTACTCCATTCTAAGACAGAGTAGAGACAGATAGTGTAATGCGCTATGCCACTCCACTGCTAAGAGTTCCCAGCATTCCTGTTCTTCAAGCTCCAAACACAGATGACAAACTGTCTGATACATACCAGGAGGAACTGAATAAGCTTGTGGAGTCTGGCTATGTTCAAAGGATTCCCAGTGAGCAGGCAGATCAGCCACAGGAAACCTGCTATTTCCCTCATCACGTTGTTGAACACAACAACAAATACAGAGCTGTATTTGACTGCTCCTTTGAATACATGGGACAAAATCTAAACAAATGTCTTCTGACTGGCCCAACACTTGGTCCCTCTCTCCTTGGAGTTCTACTAAGATTCCGCCAACATCCCATTGCCATCTGTGGAGATATCAAAGGTATGTTCCATCAGGTACGCCTTTTGAATGAGGACAAACCTCTACTAAGCTTCATATGGAGAGGGATGCAGTTAGACCAAGAGCCCAGTGTTGAATAGCAGGTCTTGCCATTTGGAACAACCTGTATGCTGTGCCACCTATGCTGTTCAAAAACATGTCCAAGATCACTGTGATGGAGGTTTTTATGTTGATAACTGTCTCCAAAGTTTCCCTTCCTCATGAAGTTAAGACCCCTATTGACTAAATTAGACCTTTGCTTTCTGATGGTGGGTTTGACATCCAACAGTTGGCTAGTAATTATCTAGCTATAATACACCATCTCTCACCAGAGGCTAAGTCAAAAAAGAGTGAACTGAAATGAAATGATAGTTGACCCTCAATATCCTCGAGCATCATGGCTGATTGAATGGATTACTGAAACCTACCCTGGAAAAGGATGGAAAAGTTTGCAGTGCAAAGGTCATTTTCCGAGGTAGAGAATATATATATACGCCCTGTTTCCATATTAATCCCACAACCTGAAATCAGTGAAGAAGCTTAATGTAACGTATTTGCTGCACAAATCGGGGGGCGGCTGTTACAAACTGCAAGTGTATTTACCCTCCTCGCCACAAGGAGACAACTGGTGGTTCAGAGCACTGGTGAGTACCTCCCACATTATAAATAGAAGGCTGAATTGGACTTGCCCTCTTCTGTCTCTAAACATTTCACCTGGATGATGTTGTAGATGATGTAGATGTTTGCAGTGTGTATTCTGATGAACCTTCAAAGTGAGTGAGTAGCAGTTTCTTTATATAAATTAATTATGGTATGTAAGAGACAGTAAGGTTAAATTTGTTAAATAATATGATGTTGGTTTATATGTCAGTCTAATCTTTATTTGAAAGATTTATCATATTTTAATGTGTAAATGTTCAACATGGTTTGAAGACTGGATTAATGACTTGTAAAAATTGTAATTTTTTCTTTCTTTATTTAGAACCACAGCAATCATCATCCTAGCAAGAAAACAATGAATTGAATCCTTGGGTTAATAAATGGATGACTGATGGCAATCCTTGTTTCCTGGTGGTCTGTGGCTCCAGTTAGAACCTTATATCCATAACAACACTAACTTTAAAAAAAAAAAAGTTGGATTCAATGACAGCCAAACAGTACCTGTGTGTTACCAGCGAGCCTCCCCCCTTTAAGAAAGGTGGGCTTGTGGTCTTTCCTGGTGTGTGAGGTTGAGGTTTAGTAACATTAGGTTGCAGTATAATAGTTACTGAAAGGCGGTGTGTTGTGTTTGCTGTCAACGTTCCTACAGCGTCTTTTTGTGCTGTTGACAGCTGAGTTGAATCAGGTTAAAGACAATTAAAATAGTCTAAACTGGAGGTAAAACATTTCAGAGCTGCTAAACTGGGGGCCGCACAGGAACAGATGATTGATGGCGTTTTCTCTTCTGACCTTATCCGGAGATAAATAATGACTTGTAGCTGCTAACTAGCGTTTCACGGTGAAGCACTAACATTGTGTTATTGTGCTAGGCTAATTTGTTTAGTTTGCAGGCAATTATGGTTTTAGGTACCTTCAATAGTTCTGAAACGACAGACAGGGATCGGTTACCTTCCTGTAAAATACGCCTGATATCTCAAAGTAACGCTACACTAAACACAGAGCTTTCTCTGTGGTCACCAACAGAGCGCAGACTCGTTGTAAACAGCATCGCGACTGCAGAGAGTAACGTAACGAAACGCGCAGACGGTGATATTGTGTTCTCAGATTTGGCGGGATAAAAGCAGACCGAAACAGTTAAGGTTAAGTTAGCTAACTACAATGTCCAAGATCCATCTGTACTCAAACTCTCACAAACTAATGTTACACAAGCACA